TGCACCCAACCTTCCTTCTGCACCCAACCTCCATCTCAGACCCCACACCTCCTCCATTAATATGGAAAAGTGTGGCCCTCATCCACTTTCCAAATTCTTGGAGTGGCCCTCCCAATCAAATTATTGCCCCTGCAGTAATTTTTGTCCACACACACGCACACCACACCACACATTTGTTTGACAGTTAACCTTGTAGTTCGAAGCAAAAGCAGGCCTAACTCCAGAGGAAGAGAGTAGATAAAAAGTGTGAAAAATTGGGATTTGGAGAAGTAATAAGTGCCTTTATAAGAGAGCCCCAAATATTGTGACTCTATACAATCAGGACATCTGGTCACCCTTCCCCAGAGACAGGATGTGCACTAAAATATTTGGCTGTTAAAACTTTTCTTTTGCATTACTAAGCTTAGTAAGCTACATGGTATTCAGAGCCTTTTTTCCTCTTATCACAGAAAAATGAGGGAGAAGACAAGGTGGAGAGCAGCATCTAAAATACAGCTTTGTATTTTAGGCCGATGAAAATCTTGGACCTCTGCACTAGAAACAACCTTTTTTTGAGATCTGATGTTAGTCATGGACACTCTCAATTATGGTGAAATGCTGGCTGCTTGTGGCAACAGGGTCACTCTGGTGCCACCAGCTCCAGGGGTTTGCTCTTGCAGCAGCAGAGAGGCTGGCAATAAAACAATGGGTGGGGGGGAGGGCGGGAAGACAACACTCTAAGGAAGGGAGAGGGCAACTGCAGAACCCCATGGCTAGGGCCAGGCTGCAGCCCTGTAGTGGAGCCCCACAGCTCCAGGGCTGCACACCCAGCCCCTGGCTACCACTTATGGGTCCATGGCTGCCAGGCTGCGCTCTTGGCCCTAGACTGTGGGACTATGTAGCCAGCCTGCCTCTCCCTCCAAGACCTGCCCTACCCTATTGTCCACTCCTTCCCTGAGCTTGAACACCCCAAATGGCTCTCTGGAAGCTCTGGGAGGACAGGAGAAGAGTTGCTGAACATGAGCCCCTGGCTTTTCCACGTGAGTACTTTGAATGCTGAACCACAGATGTTGCTGGACAAGGCAAGTCCAGATTATAGAGGTCCAACCTGTATAAATCAATGCAATATACGGAAACACAGCTTGCCCTAAGTACAAGCATCAAGAGTTAGCAGGGAGGAAAAGAGCAGAGTTTGGCATTGGATTTCAGACATTTATCTTCTAGTGCTGTCACCCTTAGTGTTCAAAAGTCTCACCTCTCTTACTATTTTGCTATGGCTGCCTCTTTCCCATTTCCCCCCTCTCTCATGTGTTTGTTCACAACAGTCATCCCAAAATGTACAGGACTTTCTCATGATTATGCTTTTTATGCTGGTAGTACAAAAAACAGCATAAGTATATACTACAGGCTGTGCTCACTATAAGTCCAAGATATGTTCCAAAAAACTTGGACTTATAGTGAAACAACTTAAAGCGGGGAATATTTTTCTCGCAGCTGACTTCCATTTAAGAAAGTTGGGGGAGTGTTTCGCACGACATCAGTTCCTACAAATGTCAGTGACTTTAGTGGGGAATGGATGTATACCGGGGCGACAGTGGAGGCGCTCTCTCTCTCTCATTTTTATTTTTATTTTTATTTTTATATATATAGGGAGAGGGAGAGGCGGGCGGGCGGCAGGGCTTGACAAGCGGCGGCGAGCCCCACTCGCCAGCTGTGTGGTTTGGCACACTACGCATGTGCAGACTGCGCTGCGGCACTGTTCCAGCTTAAAATCTTCTCGCCCCGGGTGAGTAGATTGACTAATTTGTCGAGCCCTGTATATAGGTAACCATTATCTGTACATCAAAGGGATGTGCTCATGAATGAGGTAAGGGCATGTGTTCACTACCCACTGAATTGGTGGGCAGCAATCGACCTCTAACATAGACAAGTCTGAACCCATGGGCTGGAGCAGGTGCAGAACCCTAGTTCCCTTATAAGTGAGCTGAGGGTTTTTTTTTTTTTTTTTTCCTTCTCATTTGGGAGATAGATCAGTGAGGAGTTTTTGGTGTGTTTTTGCTTCTTGCTTGTGTGGCCCCTGACTCATTTTTCTGTAGGTCAGTGGCCACCAGGCAAAAAGTTTCCCCAGCTCTGCCATACAGGAAGAGGTCAGTCCTATGGAGCCACCTCTGTTCAGAATACGTGTTTCTGTAGTTGCTGTGAAAGTGTGTGGAGTAAGGTTAAGGGAGTAGAGAAGGCAGGGGCACATTGAAAAGTAGCCTCTGCAGCCCACTAGAGCAGTGTTTCTTAAACTGTGTTCTGCGGCACACCAGTGTGCCGCGAGGCAGTCGGTAGGGTTACCAGGTAGTATCAGAAAAAATACCGGACATGCTTGATGGGAGGGGTGGGGGGAGGAAGCAGGGTTTGGGGGGATTTGGGATTTCTTAATGTATTAGTTAAACTGTGATTCCACATAGACAGGGCTGTCTGTTCTCCCTGTCCCACATAACTTGTAGAGTTATCTAGTGGAAATCTGAAATTAGAGGGACAGGTTTTTATGTTTGTGTGAAAAAGAACTAATTGATTGGATCTGTAAAAACAGGAAGCAGTACAATCATCTGAGGGGGAGAACCCAGCTAGTTAACTTTGAGGAGAATGTAATTCAGGAAGTAACTTCTGAATTTGCATAGAGCCAGAAGTTGTACACTGAATGGTAGATAGTTCATCACATTTAATATTTCAGTTTACTGAGGAGCTGCTCTGTAGCTAGTAAGAATAAAGTAGTAATATAATTACTGGAATAGTAAGTAGGCACCTTCATGATTTAGCTTTTGCAAAGAATATTATAAAGTAATTTTAAAGAGGCAAAATTACCTCTGCTGCTTAGTTTCCCTGTGAACACCAGTCTTTGCATTAGAGAGCCACTCTTGCTGACTCATTCCTTCCACCTGATTTTTCCCCCTCTAAATGAGACAGAGAGAACAGAATATCAGAGGCTGTAAACTTCAATTTATGGTGTGACCATTCACTTTATTTAGGCTGTCACCATCAGGGTTCCCTTTCCATTCACATCTAATAAAGGTCTTAGTTAGGGAACTTAAAATGTTGAAAAAGGAGTGGGCATCTACTTCCGAGAGGTTTAGAGGAAAAATAGGGAGGGGGCAACACCCTGATAAGAGGTATATGCCCTGACTTCTTGAGAGAGTTGGATTCCTGTCAGTGTTATTTCTAGACTCTCCCCAGGGACTCCATTTTTTGGATTGGCCTTGGGCTAAAAAAGCTTAAGTTTGAATACTCACCCATTTCTGATTGTAGAAGGGAAGACAACACTCTGGTCTTTTCTTCCTTTACTTCCCCAGAGTGTTCTGTGGAAGTACTGAGAAGAGGCTTTTTTTTTTTTTTTTTTTTTTTTTTAAACGCTCTACCTCCTTCCCACCCTCCCATTTTTGGGTACCCTCATAAATAGCTCCAGTGATCAACTCTTACTGCTCAGCTTTCGCCATGCATCTTCACTGTGTAATTGGCCTGATTTTGTTTGTTGTCCATACAATTGTGAATAGCATCAGTGAAATGGAACAGAATCTTGTTAATTCGTTGCATCTGGCTCAAAGTTGTGGATCTACATAGGCTCTAACACTTTGTAGGCTGAGAAAGATATTACTGCATGAGCTCATATTTGAAATGTTTTGTAAACATCGGGGTTAGAAACCTGTTTAAAAATGGAAATCTGTCTCTGTACAAACCAGTAATGTCATTTTTCCAAGCTGTTTTAAAGGGATTCTCTGGAATGCCTCCAGGTCCCATGTAACTGTCTTGCATAGTCATTGGCTAATGAAGCTAAAAACCTTTCGGCTACGTCTACACTGGCATGAATTTCCGGAAATGCTTAAAACGGAACAGTTTTCCGTTATAAGTATTTCCGGAAAAAGAGCATCTACATTGGCAGGATGCTTTTCCGGAAAAGCCCTTTTTCCGGAAAAAAACCCTGATCGTCATTTTCGCGATCAGGGCTTTTTTGCGGAAAAGACTACTGTTCTGTCTACACTGGCCCTTTTCCAGAACAGTTTTCCGGAAAAAGGACTTTTGCCCGAGCGGGAGCAACATAGTTTTTCCAGAAGAGCAACTGATTTCTTACAGTAGATCATCAGTGCTTTTCCGGAAATTCAAGGGGCCAGTGTAGACAGCTCGCAGCTTATTCTGGAAAAGCAGCTGATTTTCCGGAATAAGTGGCCCAGTGTAGACACAGCCTTCATGTATTGCTAACCTAGTACAGGCAGTCCCCGGGTTACATGGATCCGACTTACATCAGATCCCTACTTACAAACGGGGTGAGGCAACCCCGCACTAGCTGCTTCCCCCCAGCAGACCAGGGAAACGCGAAGCTAGCGCCCCTCCCCTCCCCCAGCAGACCAGGGAGATGCAGAGCGGCTTTTCTCAGCAGACACCTCAGCTTGAGAATAAAGGACTGAGGGAAGTGAGGTGTGGGAGAATAAAACTGAGCTCTGGAGAAACGTTTGGCTAGAGTTTCCCCTACAATATGTACCAGTTCCGACTTACATACAAATTCAACTTAAGAACAATCCTACAGTCCCTATCTTGTACGTAACCCGGGGACTGCCTGTACATATAATGAATACAACATAATATCTCTGTGCTTCCTATTCCTGGTTGTTATTGGTCTCCTCTCTGTGGCTATGGCTACACTATGAATTTTGCCGCAAGAGCCAATGCAAATGAAGTGTGGATTAGAATTTTCTCACGCTTCATTTGCATATCTTTTCATTCCATTTTTGTGCAAAAACAGGCAGTGTGGCCGGGGCCACTTTGCTCAAACCCCCCTTTTCCCACAAGATCCTTATGCCTATCCTGGAGAGGCATATGGATCTTGCAGAAAAAGGGGTTTTTGCACAAAACGGCCATGGCCACACTGCCTGTTTTTTGCGCAAAAACCCCTAGCGCAAAAATGGAACGAAAGAGGGTATGCAAATGAAGCGCAAAAAATGCTAATTTGTGCTTCATTTGCATTGGCTTTTGCAGCAAAACTCACAGGCTTCGTCTACACTGGTGGATTTTTGTGCAGGAAGCCTTTTGTGGAAGAGATCTCTGCAAAAACTTGTGCAAAAGTGCATCCAGACCTCAAGGCACATTGCAAAAGCGATGTGCTTTTGCACAAGAGAGTGTCTACACTGCATGGACGCTCTTGCGCAAGAAAGCTCTGATGGCCAATCACAGAATGGCCATCAGAGCACCTGTGCTTTTCCTGATAGGGGTTTCTTGCACAAAAACCCTTCCAGAGCATCCACACCTGCCTTTTTGCGCAAGAGCTGTAGCGCAAAAAGGGGTTATCTCTCATGGGGAGAGGAATAACTTTATCGGCAAAGGCCCTCTATTCTGCCGATTTACTTGTGCAGAAACCTTGTACTGTAGACATAGCCCTAGCCTGTATGTCTGTACCCAAATGGGCTGAGACTTTGTTCCTTAGTCATGCCTACCAGTTCAGCTAAATGGTTTGCCTTTGAGCTTAGTGTGAGGTTCTCCGTGCCATGTTAAGATGCCAGTCATTCAAAAATCTTGAGGGTCCTCTCCATCTGTGTTTAGTTTTTAATCATGTGTGTTTTGTAAGCACCCTACTTTAATCTGTAATGTACCTAGGTGAGAGTCTTATCTGTCTTGGAGCTCTGAGTAGGTCTTAGAGTTGTGGGCCAGGAGACCCACCTTCTCTGCTAGTGGTTCTACTGAATATGTGAGTTGAAAAAAAATTAAGGATAGAGAATCTTTTCTTACATCATTTTCATTCTCATTAAATGTACCTTCAGAAGTTGTTAAAGTATTAAAACAACCACTAGAACAAAGCACTTCCTATACAGCATTGTCTTACACATGCTGTGTCAGCATGCATCATGGTTAAGGCATAATTCCTACCTGGAAAACCAAAACACAGGATCACTTACTTCCTGAGAGTTCTTGAGACATTTTCAGGTTTCATTGTTTCTGCTATTGACAACTGAAAGAATAAATGAGATTATTCCAGGATAACCTGGAATAATGGCTGAGTCCACAAAGTGCCACTACTTTAATCAGGAAACCTTGAATGGTTTGCTTCTCTGGCTAGATCATTAGTTCTTGCCATACATATCCAAGCCCAGTCCTTTGTGGGCACCTAACTCCAGAATTAGTCAGACCTGGACACTCGGCACCTTGCAGGATTAGACTTCTGATGCAGTTTAGCTCTGGACAAGTTGACTGGAAAGAAGAGACTTCTCTACTGAAATATTAATGCAGATTTGGATTTTACACAAAGATTCACTCATTTCTTCTGTAGACTTCCATGGAAGAATGAAAGAGCTCAAGACTTCACATAGCTGTCATTTATGCTAATGACAGAACAGACAAACTATCAGCAACTGCTGTCTAGCACATAAAATACTACTGTGTTCTTACAAATGAAAGACTACTTCAGAATTCAGTCCTGTCAAATTAAAGGTAGTTTTGGGTGTGTGGGGCAATGAGAAGAATCAGAGGTAATAGAAATTACTATATAGTGTTGTTGGGGGATGATGCAAGTTCTATGAGAAAGCAAACGAATGACTTTTGCCGTTGGAGTTGCAGAAAGATTGTGCTTCTAGTGAAAATTCTGTACTAAAGTTGGGTACTTCTCCCTTTGGAAGTGTATAAGTGCCTCTTTCCCACAAGCCATGATTCTTTAAATGCTTATTATCATTTTCCCAGGTAATGTAGGTATGGAATAAGTGAAGCGTGAATAAGTCTGTCACCATACAGCTCTTTAATTGTTACATACTTTACCAAATAGAACTAATTTCAAAAGAGGAATGGCATTCTGAATTAAGAAAATAGGTGTTCTTTTGATAATCTGTTTACCACAAATGCAACTTTGTTGTACTGACTTAAAAAACCTGTTGCATATTTTGAGTTACTTAAAGCTTAAGACAAAATATCATCCTGTTTGATATTATATGTTCCTTATTTTAATCTTGACACAAACTGTAGAACACATCTAGCTACATACTGGCCCTACACCCATTTAAAGAGGAACTTGGTTTAAATGCAAACAGCAAGATACTTGGGTTGTGTGTCATCTTTTACAAGGAGTTTGTGTTGTAATAGTTTGGGCTTCAAGATCAGCCTATTAAAACGTTTTTTAAATAAATAATTTTTGTACTTCCCTCTGAGGATTAAAGTAACTCCAAATAGCCACCAAGAAAATGTTCCGCTTCCTCATACCTCTTTTCATCAGAATGTGTGGGGCAGAATCTTAGCAGGTTCTATTGAAGTCAGTGGAGCAATGACAGTTTACCCACTTGAGGATCTGCTCCTGCATGTGTCTTGTAAAGATTAGTATGTACTAGTAAAATGGGTGTATATTTAGCAAGGATGTTAAATTGCAGTTAATCAGCTAATTGGGTAGTTGATGGAATTAGTCGATGTGGGAGTGGTCATTACCCCCCACTGTGGCTCTGCAATTTAAATGTAATAGGAGTTGGATGCTCAGCAGCCCAGCTTCTGCTACATTTAAACTGCACAGCCACACTGGGGTTAGCTCCTGGGGGGGGGGGGGAGCTGGGCCTCAGCAGTCCTGGCCCGTGCCAGCCCCAGGAGCTAACCTTGCCCCAGCTATGCATTTTAAAATACAGCCCTGCAGTGTCCCAGGGCTTGTGCAAGCTGGGTCTGAACAGTTCTGGCTCACACCAGCTCCGGGACACTACAGCTCTGCCCGCCACCCACACTGCAGAAACTGTGCTGCAGGGGAACCGGCTTTTAAAGCCAGCTCCCTTACATTCCTAATATATAGATGCTTTAGAATGAAGTAAGAAGTTAACACAACAAGGAGTTCGGTGACACTTTAAAGACTAACATTTATTAGGGTCTTCAGGGGGTAGCCGAGTTAGTCTGTTACAGCAAAAACAACAAATGGTCTGGTAGCAGTTTATAGACTAACGCAACACGTAGATGATATCCACGAAAGCTCATGATACCATCTACATGTTTCGTTAGTCTGTAAAGTGCTACCAGACCATTTGTTGTTAGGACATACAGGAACTACATGCTGAAGAGGAAAAAAAAAGACAGGAAAAAAATAGAAGAGTTGTGATATCAGTGTTAATTAAATCAGAATGGATGTGGCTTATCTCAGTAGTGGTGAGAAGGGGAGTGTACCTGAGTGGGAAATTACCTACTGTAATGCAAGCACTACTCCTTGTGTTTACTCAGACCTCCCTTCAGGGTGTCAAATTTGCACATGAATTCCAGGCCAGCAGTTTCCATCAGACTTCTTGTTTTTCTTGATATAGAGCTACCTCTCTGAAACTTGTAGGAGGTTAAGTGGGTCTTCAGAGTATGCTCAGAGCAAATGGAATATCAAGAGTTTAGGAGGCACCTTAAAACAAGTTCTTCAATGTGTGCTCATGTGGCAGTTTTCTGTGGCTTATGTTTGCTTAGCAAGAGCTGGATGGGTTTTATGGGAACTTCAAATCATATTTGTCTGATTTCAAGAGCCTCCCTGTGTCAAATGGTAATATCCTGCTCCACTTTTAAGACAGTAGAGCTCTTAGAGAAATTAAGATTAGCAAAATGATTATTTTTTTTCTCTCCCACTAACTTCCTTCTTGAAAATAGTTGCACCATTTCTGCTGCTTTTTTCCCCTCTCCTTTTAAGATTTCAACCTGAAGCGGACATGAGACATAACTTCAGTCCCAATGATTAAAACTTGCTGACATTTTAAGGAATTGGAAACATAAGGTGATAGGAAATCTTAAGCAACCTTTGCATACACATGCTCATGTATATAGAAGTTGCTTGATGCAGTGGAGAAGACAACTCCGTGGAGAGATCCAAAATAGGTTTCACACTGAGAAGATGATACCTAAGAATGCTCACTCAAATTAGGTCTGGCCATTTTCTAACAAACACAAAACATGATGTTAATAGTTCCTTTTACATTTGCTAGAAAATAATCCCAGGCTGATTTCAGCAAGCAAATAAAGCATTAGGGAAGCTTTATTTAATATGAATTGTGGTTTGGATCTCTTCACTGACTCCCCTTGGTCTACTGCATCAGCCTTAGACTTCAGGGGTGAAAACTTAGCCCCACTGAGATCAATGGGAGTTTTGTTCTAGACTTCAGTGGCACCAGGATTTTACTCTTGTTTGGTCTCTAAAGCTTATGTATTCTTCCCCTCCCCCTCTCAACCCCCCCAAAATCTCTCTTCACTTCACTAGTCCACTCCATCTGTTAGCCTCGATGCCCCACTTACTCTAAATTAAAATAGGAAGAGCTGTTACAGTACCATTTGAGTAACTGATGCTGAAACCAGTTCACGAACCTGATGCTCTATATAAATCAAGTGTTTATTTTGTTTAGTTTCAGAATGGCTGCGGTTATTGCCTTTCCTGGGTGTCCTGGCACTACTAGGATACTTGGCTCTTCGTCCGTTCCTCCCCAAGAAGAAACAGCAGAAGGATAGTTTGATTAACCTCAAGATCCAGAAGGAAAATCCCAAAGTAGTAAATGAAATAAACATTGAAGATCTGTGCCTCGCTAAAGCAGCTTACTGCAGGTGTTGGCGTTCTAAGACGGTAAGGTCTAAGGCTATGTAGTTAATTTATTGCTAGTTTTGCTTTCCGTGAATTGGCACATTACTTCCACCCTGAGGCTCAACAAATGCATGGGTTCTCTAAGAGATCGTCAACTCTCTTTTCTTCACTTTCAACCCACATCTGCAGGAAAGAGTAGAAACCTGCAAGACACATGACTGTCTGTTCTGTCCACAGTAAGTGGAGTGGCCATTCTTTAGTTAGGTGAAAACTAAAGTAAATTTTGCCTTTCCATTTTAAATATTTTGTTTAACTCCTAGAGAACAGCAGGGTGAGTGAGAAAACAGTACCATTTTGAAGTTCATGTCTGTTCAGAAATGTGTTCCACCTCTGAACAAGATCTTTTTTTTTTTTTAACTGTAATTTGGGACTCACAGGCCAAGTGAAAGCTTTTGCCACTATTCTGTTCTGGAGTAGATTTTTCTCACTTTGATCGTATTTCATCCTGGACCGATGAAGCCTTCCTAATGAAATGATTTAAAATAGATCTCTCTAAACATTTTATGCGGGACGACAGTGATGTCATCACAGCACTCTCCATCCACAGGAGCCAAGCCCACCCACAACCAACTTGGCCCTCCCTAGGGCCCATGTGGAGTGCTAGGGCTGCCTGCGGCCCCAGCCAACCCTCCCCTCCCTGCGCCCTCAGCCCTTTCACTCACCCTTTCCACCGTGACCCCACACTCCCAACCTGCATATGCTCCTTCCCCCCAGCCACACACCTACCCACAGTCTGCTCCAGTTCCCTCCCCTCTGGCCAGACACCTACCCTCAGAGAGAGAGGGATTGGTGAGTGTAGCAAGCAGGAGGCACAGCCCCCTAGTTATTTTATAAAAATGTTTTTGATGAAACAGCTTTTCCAATGGGGGCAGGGAGAGGAAGGGTTTCATTAAACTGTTTGACCAGCTGTAGAAAAAAACCTTGAAGTACATTGGGTGCCTCTGGATTTGACTGTTCTTCCTTTGGTCGGTTTTCTTAGAGAAGGGTTTTTTTTAATATTTTGTAGGTAGGAGCAGGTATTGTCAATGCTTTATGCTGCTGTATGGAGTTTAATTTCTTAGCAGCAATAAGCTTCTGATTGACTAGTGCCATATACCTGAAGAAAGATGGGGATTGTTATGATGTTGGAAAAAAACAATAGCAGAAGAAGCCAGAAACTTAAATCTTTTCCTTGTAAAATACTCTTTAGCTCCACTCTGATGCAACATGCTCTTTTTTGACGCATTTAAATGTGGCTATATACTTCTGTGCAGAAAAAAAGTTATCTAGTTTAAAGCTGCCCAGACTTTAATATTGAGAGCTAGCTTGTGAATTGGTTGGAAGTGAAAGGCCTTTTCACTTATTAAATAAACAATCCTTTATCCCTGCCTTCTCTGCCTGCTACTTACTTTTTAGAATCAAATCTGCAGCTGAGTCTCGTCACCTATCCTGAAGCTTTAGGGAAGAAGTGGCAACAGCTGTCATGTAAGGGGTGTGTTGCATTTTGTTAAATTATAGTATGAGCATCTTTGAGCTATAGGCTTTGAGTTGCTGGGAGGGGAAGGAAGACGACTTGGGGATCCTGGATCTCACTCCAACTATATGGATTATCCTCTATGCAAGCAACCACCACCTGTTTTAGTTGCTTGCAATGCTTTTACCACAAAACCTGTACAGTAAATACACTAATCACTTATCTTTTTTCCAGTTCCCGGTCTGCGATGGCTCTCACAACAAACACAATGAGTTGACAGGCGATAATGTGGGTCCACTAATACTGAAGAAGAAAGAAGTATAGCGAATCTCTAGTCCATTAAATCATGACTAAGTCATTTATATACTTGTAATTGCAGGACACAATGTTTTATGTACGTTGTGGCATTTTTAGTCTAATGGTTGCTATAGATTATTTTGGTTAACCTATACTTACAGACAAGTGCTAAAAGGTAGGTCTATGTTGTGATACTTTGTTCTGAAGAATCATGTTTTGTGTAAAACTGTACATATGCTTTTTTACCTGAACAAAATGACCACTCAGTTTCACAATTTAACTTTTTTAGGATGAAAGCAATGTAATAAATTGTACTATTCTTAAAGGGCCAGATGTGTACTTTTCCATTGCTTTTATTATTATCTGAGATTCTATTCCACATGGATACAAAGAAAGATGTAATTATCTTGCAGATAATTCTTACCCTCAAGACACTTCTACCTAATATGAAAATCCCAGTTCCAGGGGCAGACCAAAATTTCATTACGTGATATCTTTATTCCTGTCTTGACTACTGCATCACACGGACACCCACAATAAGTCAATCTCCCCATGCCAGTTTCATCAGTTAGTTTTCAATAAATAATTCTTACCTAGCCCACACTGCTTGCCAAAAAGCTTTGATCCTTCAGTGAAAGGCACTACAGGTCAATTATTCAAAACCAAAAGAAAAAAATAATATGACATTGCCCCAATCTGAATTCCATACAGAAAGACCTGAAGGCCCTATTTATAATGGGAATTTTTGCACCATTAACACTAGTTTAGCTGAACCAGTGCTAATAACGATGCTCGAGTTCAGGCAGCCTACTGACTGCCAATGCTGTCTTCAAAACAGTACCAAGAAATTGTGTATTCAGACAGCAACCTATCTACATTACAGCTTCTTTCTTTAATGGTAGAATATTTTCCAGTGTCTCTGATGTGAACTGAGGCCCTATCTGTAACAGATGTTGCATTCCTAGATTTAGTCTGAGATGCTAAAAGGGCCTGGTTGTAGAATATATGGCATTTTATGAGAGTGTTTATAAAATGTCAGCACATTATGGTGTTCACATACTTGGTCTGCCAAACCATGTAATGGAACTGGAGTACAGACCTACTGTAAGGTTTTAATCCATTGTGTTCAACATGCTAGCCACATGTGGCTAGTTGGCCAGTTGAGTGTGGTTATTCCTTCAGAACTGGTTGGACACTATGGCTCTGTCTACACTGCAGGCTTTTGCCAGCAGAGTATGCTAATGAAGTGCTCATTAGCATTTCACTCATTTGCATATTCTCTGCCAGTACTTCTTGCGCAAGATGTTTTTGTGTAAAAATAAGCAGTGTTGATGGGTCTGTTTTGCACAAAAAGCGACTTCTCTTCATTTTTCTTTAAATAGAAAATGGCAGAAGTATTTGATAAGCCCCTTTGCTGTTTCCAGAAGCATGAAGTTGGGATGTCAACATGTAGTCAACTAAACGATTAACCAATAAGCCTAGGCCTATCAAGTAATCTTATCGACTACATGCACTCCTCACTCCCTCCCTAACTGATAGAGGCAGCAGCACAGAGTGTTAGGGGGCAGGCTGGAGTCAATATGCATGGCAAGCCAGTTTTCATGCAGGCTTCCGGACCCACCTTTTCTCCTAGAGGCAGCTCAAGAGGGCAGGCAGTAGCTGGTGCTGGGTGGAGGAGGCTTGAAAGCTGGTTCTCCCCAGCTCCATGGTGCCATTCCCCTCATCCCTGCCTTGCTCTGCTGCCCGTACAGCAGAGTGGGGTGGAGGTGGGCAGGAGAGGCTGCCACAAAGCTGTCGAAGTGGGGAGGAGGTCCAAGCTCTTTGTGGTCAGAGGCTGCTCTGCACAGCAGTTTCTGTGGGGAGTTTGGACCCCTGCTGACAGGGGCTGCTACCCCCCCCCCCATGCAGCTTCTGAAAGACAGCAGCACAAGATGGCGGGGCCTCCCCAGGAGTCGGGCAGGTAGCAGACTGGCTGCCAGCCCCACCCCTGGGGACTATTGAATAGTTGTGTAAGATTTCATGGGGTTACATAACTATTCAGTTACACAACCCTGACGTGAAGCTGACGTGAAGCTTTATTTCAGCTGGAACAGTGCCTGTGAAAGTTTATTTTTCTGATTCCTTTCCTAGCTACTTCTGTTGCCATTGTAATTCAGCAAAGTAAAGTTAAGATCCAATGAAATGTGACAAATCCATAAATTGTCATGCATAAACACAAGAGAGTGGTTAAGTTAGAGTTCTCATCTGACCATGGTTCAAATCCCACTCAATCAATGGAAATGCTTCAGTGGGTTTTGGATCAAGTTTGTTAAGGTTAGAGAAGAGACTTCAAATCACAAATATACATGCTTGCAGCCAAATGTCATTTTGGTACTACAAATGTGTAGCCAACTACAAATCTTAAAATAAGTTCACAATAGTTGAAGATAGTCAGACAGTAGAAGTGTGAAAGCTTCACTATTGAAAACCCAAAACCAGGAATGATTTCATGTTAGGGTATCAAGTTAAGAGGGGTTTCATTTCATCCTACCACCACCTGGAGGCTGAAATATGGAAGTGTACCAATACAACAGGAAGCCTGATAGTATCGAATGCATGAGCAATACAGAGGAAGTCTGTATTGAAGCGGACAGCAGTAGCACAGCCAACCATTAAAAAGCAGAAAAGGTGTAGCTTGTTGCTGCTAAATCCCTACAACTCCAGCTTTGTCCTGTTTCTTCAAGATATTTTATCAATTAGGACTATTAGAGTTGCCATATCATGTGCCTAGAGGTACCTATGTCTGTATTTGATCCTGCCTCTTTCTGCCACCAGTACTGGATTCTTCAGCTGCGGGCAATGCAGACCATGAAGTACCTAGTTAAAATGCTGAGTATGGGCAGATGGGGGTTGGAGGAAAATTCTTTCCTAAACCTTTGACAGTTTGTGTCCCCAAGCATGATACTGGGATGCTCTTATTTTAACATGAGTAACTACAAAAATCAGTTATATAAATTAAATAAGGTATAGCTATAGTAGGGATGTTACATAGCATGTAATTGAATAGTCATGTACTGTAACCACATCAATTTTAGCAGTTACATGACTATTCTATGGCCCCGGAGGAAGGTCCAGCAGCCAATGCACTCCTAGCAAGCCTCTGGTACCCTGCACTACTGCAGGGTGGCACCCCCCCCCCCCCCCCCCCCCCCCCCCGCCTCACCTTCTGTGCTGTTGCCTACGGAGTGGGAAGGAGCAGGCAAATCCAGAGGCAAACTCCCTACAGGGCCAGCAAGGGGAGGGGGAAATGCATGTAGTTGACTGGATTAACTGATATGCCCAGGTTTCTTGTATACACACACCCCTATACATATAAACAACATCCAAGTTAGCTTCACCTGGGAACTGATCTTGGCCCCTGAAGTCAATGGGAGCAGGATGAGGATCAAATCAAACCTTACTGCAAAGTTAGTAAAAGCCACCTTTTTTCCTGCTAAAATATTAGGTGATTAGTACTGTCCATTATTAGTCATTCTATTTGAATGTTTGTGTTCTCTTTTACTGAGCTTAGATGCCTCAGACTAAATAAAAGAATCCTTATAATAAAATTAATAGTTTTACTATCAAAATACTTAATTCTAAACATTAATGTAGTAGCATAGTACATATCTTTGAATATTTAAGAACAAAATACAAAGATTATAAAAATGACTTGCTGCTTTTGCAAAAATATTAAACTTTAGAAGTGATAAATTTTATGCATCATAACCCGTTTAAATTATTTGCCCCCAAAAGCTATTAACCAGACCAAAAAAAGTAATTCCTTTTATTGATACCTCCATGTTAGAGCTTCATAAATTCCAGTATTTCATATAGCTGATTACTGTTTTCCTAATTCTGTCCCAAGGAAGTCCTAAACACATATCACCCACTGCACAATATTAAGAGCACATAATGCTGTAAAACATCAGTTTTAGGCTTTTCTTATTAGACTTCTATAATTTCACCTGCATATGTTGCTTTAAACACTTTCATATAGTACATGTGCATAATAAAGCTCCATGATATATTTTAATTGTGCATTCATTTTATTTGCACATAACACAAAATGGTATGGCATGCCATCAAAAGCTTTACAGCCTCTCCCCGACTTACAGACCAAACACTTGGCCGTAACTCAATCCGTTTGTTACTTGGACCCCATTGAGTTACATGCGACTGCGCTGTTCATAAGCGTGGGTCACGTTCGTAACTCGGAGACTGCCTTTATGACCGCTCCATGGGAGCTTTGGTCATAAGTGTGAACGGTTGTAATCCGACCGTTCGCAACTCGGGGAGCGGCTGTACTGACCTAAGATTGCCTGCCGTATGAGTGGTAGAGTAATAATGAGTTACACAAATATCCCCAGTGACATCAATAAATCTTTGATACCACATAATGACATTGTTATAAATAACCTGTAGAAATAATGAAAAGATTTTAAGCTATTATTGGGACCATTTCATTAATCCCTCTAGTGGTAAAAGCTGTTGTTTTAGTTCTGTCCTTGAGGCCAATTCTATTCACAAGAGCACGTCAGCACATTCTAAACTTCCACTGGCTAAAATAAACGTGTTTAAGTGATTTGCTGATTGGGAGCATTAGTTACCATGAGTCCAGCTGTTCAGGAGTCAGAAGGAAAGCACAGACTTAGAATATGAGCTATGTTCCTTATTTTATGTCCTTTCACTTCATTTTACGCTATTGGGGGATGCCACAAGGCCCTAGACACATGTTCCTGCACAGCTGACCACGACTGACTTCGTGACAGTTTTGCAGCAGCTGTTCATGCACATGTCCAGTGCTGCCAGCTAAGCACCCGTCTCAGATGAACAGCAGCCCATCAGGGCTAACAGCTACATCCTAGCAAAGTTTATGTAACTCCAAGATGGAGTCAGGCATGCTGAGTGAAACCCTAATGTACATCTGCTTTCAACTATAAATGCAGGTTCTGGACTAGGCATAAGTGGCTGCTGCAGTTTACAAATGTGGCTTGGCTTAGCCAACTCTACAGTGTGGCTGTGGGGCAGCAATGCAGATGATCAGACATATGAAGGAGTGCACAATCAGAAGATGGACAAGTGGACTGGACTGCAATACCTTGTTGCCCTCGATGCAGCAGTTAAATGGCTAAATAATCTAGATCGGGGTTTCCCAATTTTAGCCACAGAACCCTTTAAATAAATAAAAAAAAACCAGAGGAAACTGGTTGACCAAAAAAAAAAAAACCTACACAAACACACACCACACATCACATGCTGGTTTGCCCCTAAGACTGCGGCAGCCCCTTGAAAATGGTGGCCCTGGGTG